TTTTCGTATTGCTTCTTGTCCAATTCTTCCATATAGTCAGTCATCCATATCCTCTCCTTTCCAGCTTCAGTTATTGCCATGTACTCAGCCTCAGTACAACGCATTTTTAAAGCCTAGACATCCCATCATCCATGGCTTGCTCCCACTTGGTTGTATCCTCCAACTGTAGGGTCTCATCAAAGGGCTCTGGTTCCCTTTCATCAGCAACAGATAGTGTAATGAAGGTACATACATATCTGGTACTCTAATAGTACTGGATGATCTTCTCAACATCGGTTCACGTGTCACTTACTCTACCGCTGGTTCCTCTGCAACAGTCTCAAGAGTTCCTTGAGTATCTGCTATAATATCACTAGGTAATTTTTTCCACAACTCAAGCTCAACTCCCACTTGCTTTGTTGTCTTGGAATCTTGCTCTACATCTGGTTTCTCAGCAGTAGTCTCAGGAGTTTCATGAGTATCTGCTACAACATCACTAAGTGAGTTTTCATGCAACTCAAGCTCAACTCTCACTTGCTTCTTGGTTTTGGAACCTTTCTCACATCTGTATGATCATTTCCAACCGCACTTTCTTTAATTCTCTGGCAGTCCTTGTGAAGGTAACTCGTTTCTGCTTGCTCATAACGTAGTTCTCACAACGACCCACATCAAAAGATTTCAGACCTTCTAAAACTTCTTTTGTAGCCAACATCTTCATTCCTTTCACACTCATATGTCCAAGCTTATTGTGTCATAGACTTGAATTTGAAGCACTCTCAGCAACAGCAGCCATGTTCATACACTCTGCAGTGGTGTATAAAGTTCCAGATTTCATGCCACGTGCTACCACCATAGCACCCTTCATAATCTTCCACGAACTCTTCCCTAACTCTGTTCCATAACCTGTGTTGTCCAACTAACCAATAGAGACCAGATTCTTCTTGAGACTAGGAATATATTTAACATCCTTTAATGTCCACTGATTTCCTGCCGGAGTTTTTATGCAGACATCCCATTTTCCTTTAATCTCCAAATCTTTGTTGTTGGCAAGATACACCTTCTCGAAATTTCCACACTTGAAATTTCGGAACAACTCTTTATTTGGAGACGAATGAAAAGATGCACCTGAATCTAAAATCCAGGATTCAATCGAACTGTCCACGCTGAGGTTTAAAGCATCCTCAATGTCTTCTGCTGAATTTATAGAATCATCATCATCTCCACATTTGTGATTCTGCTTCCTCTTTGGTCTTGTACAATCTGTCCGAAAGTGACCTTTTTCTCCACAATTCCAACACGTTACGTTTGGTCTATTTGAAGATTTTTCTCGGTTCTTTGATTTTGATCGCCCTTTGTTTGGGCCTTTTAGTTTACTTCTTCTCCGTTAGTCAACACTAAGAGCATTACCAGATGAATTTTCAATTTCTCGTTTGCGAATACTTTCGCTGAGAGCTACAACTCGAATTTCATCAAACTTTAGTTTATCAGATACTCGAGAATTGCTAATTGCGGCAACAACAGTATCCCATGACTCGGGTAAAGATGACATCAGAATCAAAGCTTTAATTTCATCCTCGAAATTAATTTTCACCGAACTCAGTTGACTTACGATCATATTGAATTCATTTATGTGATCAACAACAGATTCACTTTCAGAAATTTGTAGATTGAAGAATCTCTGCATCAAACACACATTGTTCATAGCCGAAAGTTTTTTCGTACATATTCGACAGCGCCCTCAATAGATCTGACATTGTCTTCTCCTTGATGATGTTGAACGCCACATTTCTGGATAGTGACAACCGGATCAACTCTAAGGCTTGTCGATTCTTGAATTTCCACTGCTCCGTGGTCATGGTATCCGACATCACTCCCAACAGGGGTTCGTGAAGACCTTTCTGATACAGATAATCTTCAATCTGCATTTTCCAGCAACCAAAATCGGATCTATCGAACTTCTCAATTTCAATCTTTAAGCTTCCCATCTTCATAAATCGTGGTGAATTTTTCCTTGCTCTGATACTAGTTGTTAGGATCGCATAACAACGCACACACTCGATCTAGATGAACACAAAGAACATGATAGAGAAAATGCAAGGAGAATTTTGGTTAAAGGTTTGTATTGATGACTTTAGGCATGTACAGTAACATAGAATATAGAGAATACAGAAAAGTACATTTTCAAAGCTCTGCCTTGCCGGATATATATATGATTCAACTTACTATATATAACTTTACTACATATAACCATCTACTATATATAAACTATCTATCCTATATAGCTGTCTACCCTATATAGCTTTACCGCATATAGTATTTTAATAGTTATTTACTATATGAAAATTTACTTTATATGTTATTTACCATATATAGTTTTACCAGATATAACTTTTTACTATATATAGCTATTTACTATTTATGACAATTTACTTTATATGTCACTTACCATACGTAGTTTTACTATGTATAATCGTTAACTAAACTATAAATAAGCAGCCGTCTCCATAACCTAACAAAAAGGTCGCTTTTGGACAAATTGTACCAGAACAAAGAGGAAGCAGAATCATAAACCAGAGGGTGACAATGATTCTATAAATTCAGTAGAAGACATTAGGGATTCTCTAATCCTCAACGGGGGCAACCCGATTGAATCTTGGATTTTAGATTCAGATGCATCTTTTCATTCATGTCCAAATAAGGAGCTATTTTAGAATTTCAAATCTGCAATTTTGAGAAGGCATATATAACAAAGCTTTGGAGATTGAAGGAAATGAGGATATCTGCATAAAAATCCTCGTAGGAAATCAGTGGACATTATATGATATCAGATATATTCCTAGTCTCAAGAAGAATCTGATCTCTATTGGTTAGTTGGATAATACAGGTTATAAAAGAGTTTGAGAATGTGGAAGATTGTAAAGCGTGCTATGGAGGTAGCACGTGGAACAAAATCTAGAACCTTATACACCACTACAATGTGTATGAACATGACTGTTGTAAGAACATGCTGGTTGTGAAAGGAGTTTTAAATGGTCTAAAATATGTTTATATGGGTCCTTGTGAGAGCTGTGTTATGAGCAAACAGAAACAAGTTAGCTTCACAAAAGCTGCCAGAGAATTGAAGAAAGTGTAGTTGGAAATGGTTCATACAGACAGTTGGAGACCATCTTCAGTTCCATCACTCGGCAGATCAAAGTTTTACGTCACCTTCTTCAATGATTTCAGCAGGAAGGTGTGGATTTATTTCCTGAAATGCAAGTCAGATGTGTTTGCCACCTTCAAGAAGTGGAAAGTTGAAGTTGGAGATCAAATGTCTGAGGTCTGACAATGGAGGAGAGTACGATTAGTCAGAATCAAAACATTTTGTGCAGCTGAGGGAATTAGATTAACGAGGACAGTTCCCGGTAAAACAAACAAAAATGGTGTTGTTGAAAGGATGAACAGAACATTGAATAAGCGGGCAATGAGTATGAGGATTTATTCTAGATTATCAAAGACATTCTAGGTCGATGTTGTAAATACTGTAGTCTACTTGATCAATAGAGTCGTCAATACCCTTGGAGTTCAAATAGCCAGAAGAAGTATGGACAGGAAAAGAACTCAAGTACTCTCACTTGAGAACTTTTAGTTGTACTGTGCATGTTCGTGTTGATCCAGATAAGAGTAACAAGCTTGACGCTGAGTTGTAAAGTGTTATCTTAGGCTATGATTCTGACATGTTCGGGTACAAATTTTAGAATCACAAGAACCAAAAATTCTTGAGACACTATGACGTGACTTTTGATAAAAATGTCTTGTATAAGGACAAAGATAAGAAAGATTTTGGGACAACGAAGCAAGCGGAAATTGAGATTGAGTTGCATAACAATTCACAAAGTGATGTTGTAGCAAATACTCAAGAAAATTTTGAGACTGTTGTTGAGGAACCAGAGGTGGAGCAAGTGACACATGAGAAGGTGTTGAAATGATCATCTACAGCTACCAGAGTACCAGATAGGTATGTACCATCATTACACTATATGTGTTGACAGAACCAGAACCCCTTGATGAGGCCCTACAGTTGGAGGATACAATCAAGTGGGAGCAAGTCATGGAAAATGAGATTAATTGGATGTCTAGACTTCAGAATTGTGTTGTTGTTTCTAAGGCTGAGTCCATGGCAATAGTTGAAGATGGAAAGAAGATATAGATGACAGACTATTTAGAAGAATTAGGCCAGAAGTATTTCGAGAAAATTCTTTAGACAGATAGTCAGAGTGTCATACAGTTGGTGAAGAACAGTTTATCATATAAAGACAAAACACAGAAAGTGATATTATTTCACTCGCAGGTTAGTGGAAGATGGTGATGCGTTTGGTAAAGATAGAGGGTGCAAAGAATCCAGCAAAAATGTTGACAAAATGTGTTGATGCTGGAACATTGAGATTGTGCGAAACCTCAATTGGCATGATGCATTGAAGATGCTGATAGTCGTTTGAAAATAAAATTCTTAGTTGACTGGATCATTCTCGAATTGGGAGAATGGTTGGGATATGGAGTCTACTAAAACCATATATATATATAATCTCTCACCCAACTTTTGAAGATGTACTCTGCGTTCTATATTAATCTCTCTCGTTGTATATACTTGAAGTCATAAATATAAACATTTAGCCAAAATTCCACATTACCTTTTTTCTATTATATTTTTTTGTGTTCATCTAGATCGAGTGTATGCGTTATATACTAACCACTTTGATGCGATGCAAATCATTTATGGAGATTAGAAAGCCCAAAAGTGAGTTTGTTCTTGGAATTTGAACATGGTCTAGGGTAGCAATATGAGTATCTTCCTTACATATGAGTTTGGTACTCTCAGCTCATCCGTTAGAAGGCTAGTGGACATCGCAGCTGGATTCTCGCACCAAAATCAGACATCTTATTACAATTCATTACATATATAACATCATTTCGTTTTTAAGTATTTGTCAGACTAAAGCTTATAAAAACAAAATGATTAATGTTCCACTTATCCATTCCAAAAATAACCCTAATCCCCAAATTCCTATTTTCCTATAAGATCCCAACACAGCCTCTCACTCTCCTCACGGGACTCACGCCTTGGGAAATGGCGATTAATCAAACGTTTCTTCCGCTTCTAGCCTTGCTACTATTCCAATTACTCGTACACCACCAGATTTCAGCAGCCGCGGCGCCACAGACGGCGGCGAGTGAGTACTTGGAAGCCCACAACCGCGCAAGAGCAGAGGTGGGGGTGGATCCACTGCGGTGGAGCGAAAAACTAGCCAATCTCACAGATCGACTGGTCCGATTCCAACGCAACCAAAAGGGGTGCGCGTTCGCGGATCTGAGCGGCAGCCAGTACGGCGGAAACCAGATGTGGGCAAGTGGACAGACTCTGACGCCGCAGGCGGCGGTGGAGGAGTGGGTTAAAGAGAAGGCGTTTTACAATCACACGAGCAACACTTGCGTGGGAGACCACCACTGTGGGGTTTACACTCAGGTGGTGTGGCGGAAGTCGGCGGAGGTTGGTTGCGCTCAGGCCACTTGCCGGAAAGAAGGGATTAATTTGACCATATGTTTCTATAACCCCCCCGGGAACGTCGTCGGTGAAAGTCCGTACTAGATAAGGCTCAACCTTTTGTATTCCCCCCCCCCCCCCCCCC